ATATATCGCGAGCTGCAAGCACGCATGCCTGTGCTGACGTGGCAAGCGGCGCAAAGATGGCACTGGTACGAATTTGCCATGAGACCCAGGCAACGCACTCGTCCATCCAACTAACATACGCTACATCAATGCCCTGCATGTGGGCCATGGTCGACCACGGTCGGCTCTGGCCTGCAAGTGATCTGGCTAGCACGCTGGCTGCGTGCTCGGCTGCACCCATGCCCAGGTGCGCACTACAAGATTTACGTGTTGCAAAAAAGGTCGGGATGATATTCCCGCCGCAAACCAGGTGGAGAGGTGCCAGCTGTGGCTCCTCATCATTACCTGCCAACAGAGGCGTCATGGGCACACCTGCCCAGTCAGTAGTGAACGAACTCCTCGAGGCTGTCGACGGTGCTGCAACATCCCTGCGTGCATCGTCTTCTGGCACGAGTCTGGTCGAACTCACGCACCTCCGTCTGCTGGAGTCGCTGCTGCCGCCGCGGCTGCGGTGCGCGCCTCGGGCACCGAGGCCGCCCCTGCTCTCTTCTCCTTTCTCGGCGGAGAAGCCGTCGTTTTGTCCACCTCGATCATCGTCTTGTCCGCCATCCCGTCGATCCTGCGCACCTCCGCCTGGACTGGCGACTCGTACTCGTGCGTGACACTCTCCGTCGGCGCTGGCAAGTAGGGATCGTCGAGCTGGGACGCCGTGGTCATTGGAACCCACGGCTGCGTCGGCTGTGAGCATTGCGGTCTGTGTATCACTGGTGTCGGCTGGCTGCTCTTGCCCTCGGCTTCGCCTGGCTCCACTGGCGATGTTGGCGAGCAGCTCACCTCCCCCCCTCTCCTCCTGCTCCTCCTCCTCCTCCTTTTCCTTTTCCTCCTCTTCCTCCTCTTTCTTCCTCCTCCTTCTCGTCGTCGTCGTCGTCCTCCTCCTCCTCCTCGTCGTCCTCCTCCTCCTCGTCGTCGTCCTCCTCCTCCTCCTCCTCCTCCTCTCCTCCTCCCACTCCTCCTCCCTCTCGTCTTCCTCCTCCTCCTCGTTCTCCTCCTCCTCCTCTTCCTCCCTCCTCCTCCTCCTCCTCCTTCCTCCTCCTCCTCGTCCTCCTCCTCCTCGTCGTCGTCCTCCTCCTCCTTTCAAGCTTGGTCGCGGAGCCGGCCTATGTTGGTCAGCTCTAGCTCGACTCCTCACCATCCACGGTACTATCTGGTGGACTACAGACGTGGTGGAACATCAGGGTGCAGTGGGTTTGCGCGGACGAATGTATATAACTAAGCAGCATAGCGAGGACGCTTGCAGTGGAACCTCTGCCTAAGCGGAGGCCTCTTATTTCGTCCTACATCCCTGCGCTACTACACTCGTGAAGTCCACCCACCTACTGCAATTGGAATCTTTTCGAACACATAATGCATGGAAACATGCGATACGACATTGTGCCGCTCCACCCCCGCGCAGGCTTACGACCACACGTTGAAAACCCCAACCGACTACATCCGACCACGACCTGCGAGGCCATTGGATTGGTATGACTACCTTTGAGCTCACATGGGTCGCTATCGGGTGTGCGGTAGGACATATGCGTGGCGAAGACGACACAAGAACGACTGGACCCCATTGGGACCCGGCCGGTCAAGAACCTTTCCGCGAATTCGCCCGCGAGGTACATGCCTGGATCAACGTGACCACGGGCAACATGACGCCCTCCCAACAAGCTGCAGCCTTGCAGCGAGGTTTGGGAGGCCTCGCACGGACCATAGCCATGATATTTCCCTCATCAGCTATCAATTTTGGTGTTAACACAGGTGGCCACCATACCGACGGCGTCACCTACATCATGTTCCTCTTAAGCACGAAGTTCGAGAATCTAGAAGAAGAACGCCAACTCAACTCTGGTACAACTCTCATCGGCTTCCGCGTCCATGCGGGAGAACGGATCGACCAGACGTTGGCGCGCTTCGAGATAGCCCGCTACGAAGCGGAAGCGGCAGGCTTTAACATCCCCAACTTCCAATTTGTAGCAGTTATTGTATTCAGAGCTTTTGGAGTGGGGACATCGCGTGCACAGCAACTCCTGCAGCCACTAAACCACCATATGCCGAGAGACCAGCAACAGTCTGACTCTCTACTTGAATGCATGAGGTCATATGCACACATTGCTGAGAAAACCCTTGGCAATATTGGTGGTATTTCAATCACGGTCACCGAACCGAGACCTTCCACGTTGAGGCAAACGCAGGGCAACCTGCTAATTACGTATGGAATGACGATCCACAGCCAACTGAGACCACTACACCACTGGCTCAGAATAGTGGATCGGCCTCGGGGTCGCAAGACTCCTGGGCCAGGTTTCGGGGGCCGCCCGACGCGGCATCCCCTACACAAGCCACAGCCCTAATGGGCTCAGCGGGGCAACCTGCTGAATTCGACTTCGGCTCCGGTACTGACGCCGACACGTCTCCGGACGACGAGGCTACAGCCCTTGACTGCTCCGATATGCCTACGTACCTCACGGAAGAGCAACAGGCGCAATGGTTACTCTTAGGATACCAAAAACATACATGCAGGTGGAGGCGATTTATGAAGAAGCCAGTTCGTAAGGTACGGCGTATCGTCCGACGGGCACTCAAGGGAAAAAGGCAAGGGTCGAGGTAAGGGTAAAGGTAAGCGTCGGCGATTGCATGGCGAAGGCATGTTAGCATTCCTAGCATCCCTGATCGGGTCAAAATATGAAGATATATTCCTCGGTGCAGGCAGGAATCGCAGCATACATCAGGAACATGTCAGGGACGTCGGGGAAACCCGAACGGCAAAACTATGGAGTGCGACATATGCCATAGCACACAGCACTTTCGCCGCGAATGCCCTCAGGGCGATGGGAGCGGCAGAGGTCCGTCGATACATCTGGCTCAAACTGACACAAATATACAGTATGTTGATTGGGAATCACTTTTAGCCGACCCTTCCGGTAGCTCAGTTGCAATTGTTAGCTTCATGGCTGCCAGACATTTGAGTGCCAGTATGTCCCTCGAGAATTATGCCGACGGGCTATTCGAGGAGGTATTCAGTGGCTGGGCATGCCCATCGCAGGGCAACCTGCTGATATTGAATTTGAGGGGGAGGAGGAGGAGGAGGAGGAGGAGGAGGAGGAGGAGGAGGAGGAGGAGGAGGGGGAGGAACAGGAGGAGCAGGAGGAGGAGGAGGAGGAGGAGGAGGAGGACGGCGAGGAGGAAGACTGCTCCGCACGCCTCAGAAGGATATTAATCTGGAATGAACCACTTCTTGAGGTGAAATACCTTGACGCCGCCCAACCGACGGTGTCACTCCATCCGAACCTTTTTTTTAACCCGTGATTGCCGCCTCTTCCAGGGGAAGGGGGAGGATGAGGATGAGGATGAGGGATGAGGATGAGTGATGATAGAGGAGGAGGAGGAGGAGGAGGAGGAGGAGGAGGAGGAGGACTCCGCCCCAGCGCAAGGCAGAGGTCGTAACCATGCTTCTGGCAGTGGCACCTCGCCCCGAGGACGAGGCCCCCCCCCCCCCCCCCCGGGGCGGCCTCGGCCTGGCGGGCATTGAACCGGGAGTTTGGGACGGCCGCGGCAGGAGGAGGAGGAGGAGGAGGAGGGAGGAGGAGGAGGACAGGAGGAGGAGTGAAGGAGGAGGAGGAGGAGGAGGAGGAGGAGGAGGAGGAGGAGGAGGAGGAGGAGGACGGGAAGCTGGGCCCTGGCCTCGGACCCTGGGCGCGCCCCTGGAGCCCTCGAAGGACGCCCGGGAAGCTGGGGCGGTCGGGCCCCCTGCTCTCTTTCTCCGTTCTCTTCCTCCTCCGCCCTCCCCTTCTTCCTCCTCCTCCTTCCTCCTTCCTCCTCCCCTCCTCTCCGTCTGCGCCTCCGCCTCCGCCTCCGCCTCCGCCTCCTCCCCTCTCCTCTCCCTCCATCCCTCCTCCCTCCCCCTCCCTCACTCCCTCCGTTCCTCCGTCCTCGTCCCTCCGTCCTCCGCCCTCCTCCTCCTCCTCTCCTCCCTCCCCCTCCATCCCTCCCTCCTCTTCCCTCGCTCCTCCCTCCTCCTCCTGCTCCTCCTCCTGACCTCCTCATGCTTCCTCCTCCTCCTCCTCCCACCGCCTTCCTCTCCTACCCCTCCTCCTCCTCCTCGTCCTCCTTGTCCTCGTCCTCCTCCTCCTCCTCCTCCTCCTCTTCCTCCCCCTGCTCCTCCTCTTCCTCCCGCTGCCGCTCCTGGTGCTACGCCTCCTCGAGACCCCTGACTTTCTCCACCCGCAAGCCCCAAGTCATTCACAATCACGACCGAATACAGAAGACATCAAAAAGGACGCGAGACTCGTCCGAGAGAACCCGGCCCAGGCCCCATGAACACCCTCTCCCCGGACGAGAAGGCATTCACAATACCTGTGCAAGGGCCGCGGCTGAAGAGCGAGCTTTGGTATGGATGATCGGATGATCGGCGCTCGAGAACTCCCCCCCCCAGAGACCCCTCCCAAAAGCGCCCCTCCGAGGAATCCTCTCTCCTCTCCGCCCCTCGCCTCCCCAAAGCACCACTCTCCCTTCCCCAAGTCCCCCTCCAAAGAATTCGCCCCTCCAGCACCGACCTGGAACCCGCGATACATCGCCAATAAATCAGCGATAGGCCCCCGATGGCGAGACCGCGCGTCCCTGGGCGGGGCGGGTCTGTCCGGCCCCTATCGGAGATGAATGGGCAATTGGAGGTCGATGCGCCCTCCCTGAGCCTATCTCCCCTTATCACAACTCGGCTCTCCGGCGGCTGTTCGGGACGATCCAGGCACCCCCAGCACGCCCTCGGCGAGGCGCAGCTGCGGGAAAAGGCACCCGGAGGCTTGAGAGCCGCCGAGAGCAACGAAACCGCACGAAAACTCCGAGCACCTCGAGCCTCTTTCGAACCTCCTCCCCCCCCCCCCCCGCGGCCGAGAACGACGAAGCCGCACGAAAACCCCGAGCAGCTCGAGCATCTTTCGAACCTCCTCCCCCCCCCCGCGGCACCCGCAGGAGAGCGGGTCCTCGACAGGGCGGCGTCGGCCTCGGGCACCTCTGACGGGGGCCCAAAGGACACACAAGTAAAAACACACAGATCCCAGGATCCCCCATAGTTACAATCATCGGCCTGACCTAAAGAACGATAATTAAGGAACGAAGCCCCTTTTTATCCCAAGGAATAACGCATAAGGAACGATACATAATACATAACGCCATGTAAACCTAAGGAACGACCGAGCCCCTTTTGAAAAATAAGTGTTCCTTATGCAAGCCGCTCACTGTACCCCTATTTTCTGGGTTTTCGTCCTCCCCCCCACACTTCCCACATGTTCCCATGCTTCCCTGGAAATCGACGATGAATTGTGTCTGTGTGTGTGTTTTTCTCCCTCCTGAACCTCGTCCGCCGTCGCGGCCAGCGCGTCGGCCGCCGCCCGGTCGACGGCCGCCTGCGTGCTCGCGTCCTGCCCGCCCGTCAGCATCGCCTGCGGGGTCGGAGGCGGCGGGGCGGCGCACACCCACGGTCAGGGAGGGGAAAACCATTCGATAACTGATCGGGGGATCTTGGACGACAAATGAAACAACATGCAAAACAAATCAAACAACATGCAATATAACAGCATGCAAACAACAACTCAAATCATGCGCACCGACAATGCTTAAAAAAAACCGTCCCAATATTATTTTTGTTTGACTATTTTGGAGCACTCCTCCTGCAGAGGGAGAGGCCCGACTTAACCCTAGGCTTCTCGCTCCTCAGACGACGGGCACGCACTTCGGGGGGAACGAAAGGGGGGGACAGCAAATGGCAGGGTAGAGAATCAGCTCACGCAGCTGAGTTTCCCGGCGCCTCCCAGCGCCGGGAGGCGCCCATGTGTCGAGGAATGGGACCGGCGGCGGGGCCGAAATCAGCTGCATGTAGCAGAGTTCGTAGCCCCCCCCTTTCCCTATCCCCCCCTTTCGTTCGGCCCGAATCCATGCTGATCGAGAGCTCAAGAACAATAGGAAGGTGGCCGCTAAATTCCCCGGCCGTTTCTTGCAAAGGTCCTGGCCTCTCCATATGGCCCAGCCGAAGAACAAGTGCGACCACATCAACGCGCGGGCTCTCAAGGCATGGGATAAGAAGCCGGGCGCGTAACAGTTTGCCAACCCCTGACATGCCAAACCAGGTCGACCGCGCGACGCGCCTCAGAAGAACACGGCAGGGGCTGGAACTAACAAAACAACTGTCTTATTCACCGCCGTGGGTGTGCTCAGTGTACGACGGTGATTGGCAGAGATCACGCAGCGGGAATGATTCAGCATATACCTTTCTGCCGCTCGAAAGGATCCTGGAAAGGGCGATCAAATAATCCGCCGACACCCGTTTGCTTGGGGTGCCAAGGCGCGTGCGATGATTGGCTGTCACCTCTCCCTTTGCCCTCCTCCCCTGGTGTTGACAATCCAATTGCAACTCCCCATCGCACCTCCCAGGCCCTCGGAGCCTCAAAATCAACACTCCGTGGCCGCCAAGAAGTTCAATGCAATGTAAGGTGGCTCAATAGGGCTCCAACACGCCAGAAAGGCCAAGAAACCCCAATATAGCTTCAAGACCGCCCAAGATGCCGAAAGAGGGCCCCAAGAGGACGCCCAAGAAGGCCTCCAGATTTAATCATTGATTTCCCATTGGTTTTGAATCGATGTGTGCGTTCTCGCTCTTTCTGACGTCGGCAAGTCCAAAAGGCGCGAGAGGCTCGCCAGACTGGCCCAAGACGGCCCAAGAGGCCCAGAAGAGGGCCTGGAGACGGTAAGAGGGCAACAAAACGGCCCAAAATGCCTCCACGATGACAACGAAGCATTCAAGAATGCCCCAAGAAGAGCCCACGTTAGGCCTAAGAGGGGGAACCCGCAAGGACGCCGAGAGACCTTCTTTGCAAGATGGTCCTAGAGAACCCCAACATGCTCCCAACAGGCTCCCAAGAAGCATCCGAAGGGCGCGGAGAAGCCCCCGGGAGCTCTGGAACAACTCAACGAGGACGCACCCTGGGCATCCTAGGATCCCCCACACCAAACGTGGAGGAAGAGGAGGACGAATCAGCAACAACTACACACAGGCAGCACGATGGGAAGCGGCAAGAAGCACATACGAAATTCACAGCTTCTCTACTGGGGTTCGGCGGACTGGCGCAAACCTCTTGAATCTCAATGACGACTACGACGCCGACGAACAAGTCTGGAACACGAAATATCAAATCATTGTCCATGGCGCTGCTGCGTGACGTTGTCGTCCTATTTTAGCGGACGCAAGACGGTAGAACATACTCTTTTCCGCCACCGAGGACGCCTGTCCTGGGGCGGCTGGAACGTTTATATCCGACGTGCCACCGCAAGGCTAAAAACTTTCAAGCCGCTCTGGGACATGCGCAAAAAGTTCATTTGAAACGGTTCCGAATCCATGCGACCGAACGCTGGTTTCTGACACAATGTGGATCGTTCAGCCTTGAACGGCGCTGGCTCTTGCTCTCTTCTCTAATTCGTCTCGTCCTCATACCTCCCCTTGACCTCCTCTCTCCTGCCCCCTTCCCTCTCCTTCTTCTCCAAGTCTCACCTCCACACCCTCCTCTGCCACATCGAGCCTTCCTGGTCGTTCTCGCTGTCTCTATTCTCAGTCTTCTCCCAACCTTCCTCCTTTTTCCCTTCTTTGTGCGACTGCTCCTGAAACTATCGCGTAAGACCGCTCCTGGTGAGGACCCAACTTGTGTTCGTGTTGTCGTGGCTGTTCTGTCTCCATGGCTTCTTTCAGGAGACGTTCGCCCAGGGCTGGGACCCGAAGGCATGCAAGAACACGCGGCCCCTTGGGCCGGCCAGGTGCCAACCACGGCGCTGGATCAGAGCCGAGGACAGTCCTGGGTGCACAGACCGACGCCAAAGGAGGTTCGCATCAAGACTCCCGGCTGCCCAACCTCCCAGAGTACTGCGAGCCCCCGCCGCTGCCAGTGCTTTAGGAACGCCAGATCGAAAAGCTGGCGCATGGTGAAATTCTGACACTCGTCGATTACGTCAGGTGCAACTGCGGCCCTGAGCTAAACCAGCACTGGATCGACTTCTGGTCCAGGAGCCTACACAAGGACACCGACATTGAGGCGCCCGCCGCCGTCAGCGCAAGCCACCTCAGGCACTTCTTCTCAACCTTGTGGGAGGGTGACCGAGCTCGCAGAGCCGGGCAACTGGAGCTCGATGCATGGTTATGGGACGCGACATGCCTCCACTTCCGATACGCACACCTGGTCGAATGGGCAATCAGCTTGAACGGGAGGAAACGCAATGCCTGGGACGGCTTCCGTCAAACCCTCCCCGCAGTCGCCTCCAAGGTGCCCGCTTGGATGAACGTGGACGTCCTCTTTGACTTCCTACCATCTCAGGGGTCAAGGAGCGCTACGGGGTGCCCTCTCCTGCGACCTGGGGCGAGTTGGCTGACCCACAAACCTCCCAGCATCCCGCGCGAAACACGCGTCCCGTGTCCGTCGTGCCAGAGAACCCTGCGGCGGTGCTGGCTGACCTCGAGCCGCTCCCGCCTCCTGCCTGCCCCAACCTTTCGTGCAGGAGAGCGTGGGCACTGGCGGCTGCTGACGTGATCCGGGCCTCGTCGCGCCGCAGTATGTTCGACCTGGGCGTTGCGCGCATCATGACAGATAACGCCCGCACGCTCCACTACAAGATCGACGAGGCGTGGCTGGCTTTCGTTGAGCAGCGGCGTGCCGCGGAACCCGAGAGGTACGACGGACGGACGGTTGATGCCACGTGCTGGGCCCGTAGTGGATAACTTGATTTCCTGGCCCCATGTCTACGGCGACGCCGTGCTACTGAGCGGGGTAGCAGACAAATGCCCTTGGGACGGAAAACGCGTTGCCCTGGCAGACATCGTTCCCATGGGGGCTTGCAACCAAAAGGAAGCGCCAGGGCGGAGACCGCGACGACAGCCTTAAGCCAGCCTGGGGCAAATTCCTGGGAACCAAGACCACGTCTCGAGGAACCGACCCGCTCTGCTACGATGCCAGCGCGCTGGCAGCTTTCCTGGACAACCATGACATCCGGCAGGCAGACGCGGCCCAGCTGGCCGGCTACCGTACGCCTGGCAACTCAGGCCGACGCGCAAGGCCGACGCGCACAGGGGGGGGGGGGGGGGGGGGCAGGCCAGGGGGGAGGGGGAGGCGGAAACGGAGGAGGAATATCGGGGATACCAAGATCCAACCAGTTCTTCAGTGGCAGCAAGCAAATCAATCGAAGGTGCGGGAGGGCGGGGCGATGGGCGGCGGTCCTGCAGGCTCCAGGTTCCGCCGCTGCTGGCTGGCAGGCAGGGCGGCTTTCTCGGCCGCGGAACCCGCTCCGCCTCCTCCGCCCCCGCTCTCTTCCTCCTCTTTGGGGGGCCCCTCGCCTCCGCTCCCCATTGGGAGCTCAGCAAAACGCACGTCTTTATTCAGCTCGACTAGGGCTGCATCTCTAACCGCGCCCCTGGGCATCGCCGCGAACTCTGCGGCGAGGGCGGCCTGGCGCGCAACGACGTCCGACGAGGGCGGTCCGCGGTGTGACGGGAAAAGCTCTCGCTCGATTTACGTTCCAAATATTCAAAGCCCTTCCGCGAGGCAGGTTGACGCGGCGCCGCCCAGCGGCGGGGATCAACTGTGGCCGTCAGACCGCAGGTCGAGCAGAACTTGAGGAGGCAGTACGTGGCCTGTTCGTGCAGCGTGTGGCTGCGAGGCAGCAGCTGGCCTCCGACCGCGACGTCGCCCGCCGACGCTGGGGAACTGGCGCCCGTGGGCCGCGCGACCGAGGGGGCCGCTCCACGCGAGGCGCCCGCAAGCGGAGGCATGGGGCCACGCGGCAGCTCCGCGGCGGGCCCAGCACGGCCGGAGTCCGAAGTGTAACCAGCCCCGGCGGCGGCGGGGGCCAGCGGGGCACCGCGCGGAGTCCCCGCAAAGGCAATGAGGTCACGCGAGTGCACCAACTGCCTGCGAGACACACGCTGGACCCTGCCCTGGCCCAGCTCCGTGAATTTTTGGCCAGAGCTGGCCAAGGCGCGGGCGACCGGCTTTCCAGTGCGGGGGGGCGGCCAGGGCATCGAGCATCGCGCGCCTCGCCCTCCTGCGGGCCATCCAACGCAAGTCGTATCTGTCCGTTTCAGGAAGGGGCCTGCGCGCAGATTTCCCCCGCCCAAGCCTCGCCGCCCACCCGGCCCAAACGTCAGCAGCGGCATTCTCTTGCGACAAGGCTTGAAACGGGGTGGCGATCTGCTCTGGCTCACCTGCCAGATGGGATAGGGCCCAGAGCGCCTCGGCCGAGCCGGGCCCGCGGCGAGAAGCGGCGAGGCGGATGCGGACCCATGAGTCCGCGTTGCGGCCGCAGGGCACGAGAGATCTGCCGTCTCGCCAGCCGTCAGCGACAGGCTTGCAATCGCGCGTGTAAGCGATCGGACCAGTGGCGCGCTCTAAAGCCAAAGCCCAGGCGA